GACTCATCTTCTTCGGTAGCAAGATGTTTAATATTATCGTTTAGATGACGCTGATCACTAGTGGAGGAATATAGGTCAGGTTCGACCATATTCTTCTAACGATTTTTTGTGGTGATTCCTTGAAGATGTGAGGATCCATAACCTCATTCGGAGAAATGAGCGAGTGGTTATAAGCAAAGCTAGCGACTTTAACAGAGTGGCCGAAAAAGGAGTGCGCGTCTGAAATTTGTCGAAACTCACTTGGAGAACCTTTGTTAGCAATGGCTGCGAAAATACTCACAATCAACACATTTCAAAGTTGAAGCAACAGGATTCCCCACTGATGGACACAAGTGTTGATTTGAATAAGTATGTATTTTTGTGACAGCATTTCTCTTGCTTGTACAGTGCCATTTTGCTTAGCGGTTCCGATTGGAATTCGTGTCCTGAGTCTAGATTTTTTTCGTAGAGGCGGTTCTGATTCTACAGATTGGAGTGGACGACATTCCGTAGGGAGCCAAAATATTCGTATTTTTCGGAGGTGTTCCACGATATTGCACCGCACTGCATAAAACATTGGAGGGAGCAAGTAAGGCAAGGCAGACAGAGACGATGAAGAGATGACTGAAAGATACGTCGTGCACGCTTCAGTATGCGCGAATAGCCACTCTCCGGAGAAATTGAGAGAATTCTTTTTTCAGCTAGGGATCGGATCATAGTGAAGAAAGGACAGGGTTGCTTGGCAGCAATAGGGAAAAACGGAGGTGAGCAGCTATTATCGCTGGGACAAGGATGTGATTCGGTCAGTATTGCCGCTCATGAGATCGGCCATGCACTCGGGCTGTACCACACTATGTCCAGGCACGATCGCGACCAGTTCATTATAGTGGACATGGCAAATGTTGAGGTAATTGCATTTTTGGAAATGAGAATATAGTAGGTAAATCTGCTAATTATTACTACTATAAGCTATTATTACTATAATTTGGTACTATATTTGCAGCCTTACTACCGTGAACCAACTATTGCACCACAACTATGCACAAACATTTGGTTTGCCCTACGATTACGGCAGTATTATGCACTACAGCGGATCAAGGTTGCCCATGAGTCTTACTCCGCACACTTATTCACGGTTTTCGAAATGTTTTCGAAGTTGTATTTGTTG